CACATTCACCTGTTCTCAAAGGCTCGAGGAACAGTTCGTGGGTGCTTTGTTAACACGCGGCGCTTAAAACCGGCCAGTGTTTAAAACAATGCAGTCCCTAACCCACGTTTCTGTTTGCCGTGGAAATAAAGCCAGGCAACGTATCTTAGGTAGGGATTTCTACACGAACAATTATCCTTGATTTTACATGCAAAGAATCTGGACATATACCAACTTTCTACCCCCCCCCCCACCTCTGCCTATGAAGGGAAAGCAGTTGATGAGAGGGATTGCTCTATGGTGGTCCGATGTTTATCGGCATTGAGGACGAAAATAATCGCTCCTGATGGTTTCCCTGCAGCAACCAAGGCTCAGCAGTTCGTTTAAATACCCAGATAACTGCAGTAAATCACGCGGGCCCAGTGAAAAGCACACATAATTAATGAGTTTGAAAAGACGTCATGTCTAATAAAAAAAGTTAAAACCCAACAACGAGTGCATTATGTGAACTATACAATGTGCTTCAAATTACAAAGTTAGTGACTATGTCCTGAACTGTGGTCTAACATATTACACAGTTTTTTTTTAGGATGCAAATACGACTAAAATAGTCCTTGACTTCAATACAGATGCAAAGTTATGTTTGAGGTGCAGATTGGTTTTAAATACAACTTCAGCACTGCTGCTCATGATGGCCCGTGAACTACAGCACGTAATGAAGGACTATTTGACTAACCACGAATGTTAAAACGATCTGGTAAATTGCTCGCTAGGTATCATTTTTCTAAATGTTATCGTGTTATGCGCCTCTAATTATTAAAGCCTACGCACTCCAGCAGTGCGCGTTATCTTAGCGTTTCTGAGCCCTTCGCTTGGGCATGCGCACTGAATGCAAAAGCACCCCCAAGTATCGTATAGCCTCTCATATCATTCGGCACAGGATTTAACAATCAGAATTAGAAACGTTTGCGGGAGTTTGTAAAAAATACTGCCGCGCATTAGGTAGACCGTCAACACGCCTTCAAAGGCTGCTGCTATGCCGATTTAATGGAATATGTCTAAACAAGACAATTTTTCCCTCTTCCTCCATTACATTTAGACACGGTTTAGAAGCAAAGACCATTTGCCAGCAGATGTTGCGCTTGGCGATTATCATATTAAACAGAAATGAAATGAGCGCCGCGTACCCATTTAGCGCATAACGGCATTACGTTAATGATTATGGCCTTCAGTTTTTTACGGGATAATGGCCAGGCCTTGCTAATGGTTTCTCAGATTGTGATTAAAGCTTTTTCCCGCATCAGCTGGAGTTGTAAATGAATGCCGGTTAGCACCGATTATGCTTAAAAGGGTTAATGCCTTAATATTTCATGCAGTTACCCTGCGTCCCTCAGCCAAGGAGACGGTTATTAAAACTAATTACAGCAATATTTGTAGGCAGGACTGCGAGAGCACGCGGTAGAGATGGCCCGGTGAGTGAGAAGGCCAGGTGATTGGTGGGTTAGGGAGTGGATTGGTGGGTAAGACGGCCAGGTGATTGGTGGGTTAGGGAGTGGGTTGGTGGGTGAGACGGCCAGGTGATTGGTGGGTTAGGGAGTGGGTTGGTGGGTGAGACGGCCAGGTGATTGGTGGGTTAGGGGGGGGTTGGTGGGTGAGAAGGCCAGGTGATTGGTGGGTTAGGGGGGGGTGGGTTGGTGGGTGAGACGGCCAGGTGATTGGTGGGTTAGGGGGGGGTTGGTGGGTGAGACGGCCAGGTGATTGGTGGGTTAGGGGGTGGGTTGGTGGGTAAGACGGCCAGGTGATTGGTGGGTTAGGGAGTGGGTTGGTGGGTGAGACGGCCAGGTGATTGGTGGGTTAGGGGGGGGTTGGTGGGTGAAAAGGCCAGGTGATTGGTGGGTTAGGGGGGGGTGGGTTGGTGGGTGAGACGGCCAGGTGATTGGTGGGTTAGGGGGTGGGTTGGTGAGTAAGACGGCCAGGTGATTGGTGGGTTAGGGGGTGGGTTGGTGAGTAAGACGGCCAGGTGATTGGTGGGTTAGGGGGTGGGTTGGTGAGTAAGACGGCCAGGTGATTGGTGGGTTAGGGGGTGGGTTGGTGGGTGAGGCGGCCAGGTGATTGGTGGGTTAGGGGGTGGGTTGGTGGGTGAGATGGCCAGGTGATTGGTGGGTTAGGGGGTGGGTTGGTGGGTGACAAACCGCGGTGGCACTGACGACGGGAGCCACACGTCGCCCTCGGCCAACCCTCTCCGCTCTGACATGCGGGGAGGGGTTTTTCAGTTGAGGGTGGCAGGTAGGCTCCAGGTGGCCTCGCGTAGGCGCTGAAATCTCGTGGGTGGTAGTGGCTGGGTCGACTCAGCAGTAAGTGGCTAAAATACTCAGTGCTGTGTGTGTGTGTGCGGACGTCAGCTTTCGGGAGATATCAAGGTGACTCAGCGCCAATTTAAGCTGTACCACCCCTTGTGTGTCATACCCGCTTTAAAAGGTGCTCACGAAAATCGCCCGTATATTTCTGTACGGTAGTTTGAGAAAACGATCATTGTGATGAGGATGTGACGGAGCCTTGCAGGAATCATAATTGGCCCTGATCAGTCCACTGCTAGATGACGGTTTCCCCAAGCTATTGCCATCTCTTACAGTTCTGTGATGCAACCATCCGTGCAGCAGCTGAGCTGATCTCAACGCTCTATCCCCTCAGTGCACCGAGAGGAAAGAGCGTTCCCTCCTTTCGCTGCCACTCCATCGTTAGTCTCAACCACTGGCCACCGTCCCTTCTAACGACGCGCCCTGCCCAAGCTTGTAGGGGTACCCGTTTTAAAACCAGCTACGCTCGCACTCATTGCACACAAAGTGCTTGGCCGCAAATGAACCACAGTATAAGAATAGGGGTTTTCCCCTTTTTTTCCGGGCAAACAAAACTGAAACCTTTTTTTACGAGGATTCATGTCTGCATTAACCACAATACCTGCAGTCAAAATGCAAACAAAAAACATACTATGATAATATATGCATTGTCCTTGAAACTGATTGGTCCACACCAAGGGACGACTTTCTTTTGAGCCTCGACCCAATTGGTGCTGGCAAAGGAGGTCTAATGATGAACCACAATACCTTGCTGATCTCGTCAAGGAGCTGAAACCATCACACACACTCCAGTCATCCTCGCAGCAGTTTTTGCCTCACCATTGAACAAAGACGGTCAACCGCATCGCGTGCTTTCAGTTGCGCTTCTGCAGCCGTCTGGAACGTTCTTCCTTCCGATATTAGTAAGCAAAGGCAGCTATGCACTTTTACATCTACATTGAAAACTTGTTTTTTTTTTATCTGCTTTTTGTGTTTAGTTTGTTGTCCTTCTCCTGCACATCCGATTAGCACGGTTGGCTACGTACGGTGCGAACGAAGTTCAACATACATACACACTCAGCTACAGGGTCATGCAGAAATATAACCCTACCTGTACAAACACAGCTCTGTTGCTTCCCAAAGTCAAACAAGTGGTGGGAAAATATATTACGGCCAATTCACGAGCACACCTGTTTTATTATTGACAAGGCCACGTTCTCACAGCCAGCACTCGCTCTATTAAATTTAGCTGTGGTCAACTGCCCGCATCTGATAAGAGGCTGATAAAACGACTCACACAAAAGTAATCATACGTACATCTGATGACTGCGGTCCGTCATGACTGGTAGCCACGTGGCAGCACTTTCATTCCAACGTCTACCACTGTCAGAGACACTCACAGTGCCCTGCTGGCAACATGTGCCAAATGTATAACAACACGCATGAGCGGACAAAACTGAGCTAATCAGAAAAAATACATTTGCCGGGGCTAGAGCGATGCTGCAACATCCCGTCACATTTGCAATGTCAAGAAATAAAAGCTTTCTGGATCTGTTTTTTTCCCTTGGGTTGAATGTCATTAAGCCAAAGCAAGAATTTCGCCTATGTCAGTCAGCTCTTTTTATTTATTTATTTGTCGAAACTGCCTCTACGTATTTAGGGCACTTTCCCCAAGAAATGAGAAGTCTGTTCAATTTCATTTAAGATGAATCCTCAGGCAAAGATTTGAACTCACAAAGTACTAATGTAACAGCTTTGTAACACTGCGAGGAAATCCAGCATCATTATTGATTTTCTAACCGCGCTATGCAATTTCAAGCCGGCTGTAGTAATCGCCCTCCAGTGCTTCCAGATGCCAGCCCCTTAACAACCTCCGCCCCAACACATTGTTTTGTCAGACGCCGTTGCTTGCTTGTTTAGTTCACATGTGAACATTTAGCAATGACCTTGTCTGAACCCGTGTGATCTGGTCAGCAGCAGGTCACACATCGAATCGATAAGGGAAAGTAATTATTTCATTAAAGTTAATGTGCAGGTTTATTTTTTCTCCCCCCCCCCCCCAAGAAATAGCAAGCTCTGGATAGGTATGTTAACAATAACATGCATTTGTATGACAAGATTCACAATGTACAATTTGTATCATTACCAGACTTATTACCATCATCATAATCATCATCAATTCTTCGTCAATTTCAGCTAGCAAATAGATCCACCATGCTTTTGTAATATGCCCTCTTAACTTTAGGACTCAAAATCTCAAGCAGAATTATCTTGCGTAAAATTAACATTGAATTCTAGCGATATTAGCCGGCATGTTAACAATATGAAATGTCTACAGTATAACCAATAGTATGTATTGTGTCCTTGCACACATACACACAAACACAATTTTGCGTGCGTGCCCGCGTCTTTGCGTCTTGCTTACCTGTTGTGTGTATGTGTGCATGTGTGAATGTATGTATGTGTGTGCATCTGTGCAGATATGTGCGTGTCATGTGCGTGTCATGTGCGTGGATGCGTACGCGTGTATGCACGTGCGCATGCAACGCAATGTGCACGCGTGTGGATGTGTGTACGCTCGTACATGTGCTCCCCGCGTGTGTACGCACGTGCGCGTCTCTAAGTTTCTGTGCGTGTAAATGTTCACCCCTGCGTGCGTGCGTGCTTGTGCGGGCCTGCGTGCAGGGTTTTTTTCGCAGAAGCATCCAAAAAAACATGGTGTACACTTGCCACCGGGACAAGAGCTGCATAATAAACAAGAGCACGCGCAACCGTTGCCAGTACTGCCGCTTGCAGAAGTGTTTCGAAGTCGGCATGTCAAAGGAGGGTGAGTGCAACACCGAGGCAGGAGGAGTGTGCTTGCTGAGACCCAGGTTAAAAAACTGATTTATTTTTTTAAAACGGCCTTGCCACAGCATCATTGAACACTCTTTTATTATACGCGCGTGTACAGATTAACGTTTTTTTTTCTGACAACGCAGTGTCGCATTTCATGCGTGGTGGTTGCTCATCCCAAGCACTTGCCAGGCCCAACCCAACTTTGGGTTCCATGATCCGACGAGATTGGGTAAATTCCAAGTGATTTGGTCGGGGGGCAATGGCAGCAAAATGCATTGTTGTATTGTACTGTGCTCCCAAAGTCTATGAGCCCTGCTTCCACCAACCCCCACTGACCAGCATGGTGAAGTATGGTTAAATTATCCTTGCAACACACGAGGCGTGGGGAGGCTCTCGTGCAGCAGTGAATTGACAAAAGTGCTTTATATGTACGATGTTTCAATCAATGGCCATTCTTTAGAGCTGAGAGAAAAGGCAGTAATGTAGATTTGGAGGCTGCTTTCTACCATGCTATAAACATGTGCTGCCAGTCAGGAGAAATGATCAGGTGCATATTGGATTATTGCCGTCTTCTTTGTTGATCAATAGCTTGTATAATGCTGACTTAAACCATAAATCAAAGTTGGCATACTCTATATTTTGTGTGAGTCAATGATGATGCTGGCGAGGTGTTTTTCAGCCAGTTGAGTTCTATTTGCAGATTGAAAACAGGTGCCTTCGAAAAATGCATGAGATGTGCAATAACATCATCGGGCATAGCATGTCTCTGCAGGAATGATGTTCAACAAAACAACTCTTAGTTAAGCACGGCTGTAAAGTAAACAACGGAACATTGATATTCAATCAGCGATAAAGGTGTCAATCCAACAATCCAATACCACATTAGGAGAAGGGCGGGCGGGGGGGGATGGGGGTGAAACCACAGAAACCATTTGGTGGAAGGAGAGGGGGCAAAGGATGGGGGGGGGGGGGGTGCTCTCTCTGTTATTTCATCTTTTCCAACTGACCCCTCCCCCCCTCATCCAGTCCAATAAACGAGCGGCGCACGCTTCACACGCGTCCCCCCTCTCATGTCGCCTGTGGCTTCCCCGCCACCGGAGGTTGTGTCTGGCAGTCCAATTACCGACCCCCGGCTGCCGCTGCCCAGTTCATGCATCATTTGACCTCTGACTGCGGCCCTCATAAATGATTCAGCCGCCACGAGAGGCCACTCGGTTCTTTTGTGTGTCTCGCCGGCACACGTGCGTGCCCACCACGCACGTCCCGGTGTACGTGCAGGTGGTGGCGGTGGCAGGGCTGGCGTGTCGTGCATTTGGCGTCTTTCCTTTCCCGCATCTTTGCGCCTGACTAAGAAGGGGCTGGCGGTTGGATGCACAGGCCAGGCAGTGAAAAATATGGTGCTTTATGTCGATGTTGTTCTAACTGATTGTACTTTACACAACGTTCTATGCGCAATCAGCGACCGCGTGTAATCATTGCGGAGCAGTTTTAAAAAATTGCTTTGCAATTACGCGTGAGCGCATTCTTCCACCGCTTTGTTATAATTATTCTAATAGCAACGTAAACAATGTAAGCCTCAGAGTATAGTACTCTTTAAAGCCCCCGTTTATTTTCATATTATTTTCACTAAAACTCAGGTCCCCTTTTTTAAAGAGGTAATGCATCTCAGTGAATTTTTTACCAGGTTAAATTACGAACAATTATCCCAACTGCTTTGGACCGCACATAGAACGGCAAAACACAGTCCGATCGAATTACATATCGAGCTAAGACTTAAAACGCTCATTGTTCAAATGCAGACAAACCTCATCTCTTTGCACAAATATTGAGAATAGTGGGTAGAGAACTAACACCAGTAATTTACTCAGCGTTGTCACGTCGTTAGCACGTCGTAAATTGCAAATACTATCAATTAATGGGACACACAACTCACTGGTTGCTTTTGGCTAATCCATGTTTCAAATATGTTGCTAAATGACATGAACAACACACACAGACGACTGCACATTAAAAAAAATTGAACAATCAGATTGGCGAATAGAGCCGTTGATGTGCGGAAGGATGAGGTTTGCCTCTATGCAACATCACTTGCTCCATTTGCTGGGGGTTCGCAAAGCATGTCGCTCATTTGCCGACAGTACTCCCAAGAGCACAAAGTGTCCATTCTCCCCAACAAAGGTTTCCACTTCGCTAGTTTTTTGGTTTCGGTGAAGGGACATAATTTTCCCTCCATGTCATATTTGCAATGGGAATTGTTAAGGAAAGAAACTGGCACTGTTTAAATGCCATGCAGTATTTATATCATAAGGTTGGAGCGGTGCCCAGTTCATCCCTTGCTCGATCTACTTGCCGTCCACATGCACTGGGTATTAAGCATAGAATAATTTAAATCGGCTTATGCCCAGCGCTCTGCCCCGTAGTTTTTTTCTAAATGCGGCCTTTGCTCGAAAAGCAGCCGATGCGTCCGTGCTCGACAGCAAAATGTGACCTTAGGATGTGTTCACTCTGACTTGGCCGCGATTCGGGGGACTCCATGGAATTTGTCAGAAAAGCCGGCGGCGCTCATGCAACGTGGTCACTCGGCTAATGACTGATTTTACATCGCGTTTACGTCCATCTCCACCCATCAGCGCATAAACAAAGAACGCTTACCGTGCGTAAATATTACCATGTATGTAACGCAACACTTTAATCACAGGAACCAGGCAGGATCCTCACAAATTATCTGTGTAACAGCCAGCCTGATGATACCCTCAGCGACCGGCATCTCCACTGACAAACATAAACGCCAAGTGCCGACATCGCTCAGTCACAGCGAAGGAGCAGATGCTCAACAATATCCGTTGTGCCCATCAGCAGAATGGGAGGAAAGTGTGTAGGTTGTACACTTTTTTTAAATAGCCACTATCTATGTGTACTGGAGAATAGGTTAAGAGTAATTGTAGCACTAAACAGGCCTGTAAGAAGCGAGTTGCAATCCAGCATTCCTTTCTTCAACGTTTTATTCGTGCTTGGAGCAAAGCTTGTAGGGAATTATAATGGGACGTCCGTGTTTTTTCTGCTCAATACCCTGGTTTTCATTTGAGCTTTGTTGAGCCTAGGTAATCCATACAAATGTGATTGTTGTGTCGAGGGAAATGCTCAAGAAGAAATATGATGATAATTACAATGTGCATATATCCCATATTTAATCAAGATGCAATTGTATATTCCTTCTTAATGCATCCCAATAAATTGTTTTATTGAAAACAGATCGAGTCATTTTAAAGGATATGGGTGTAAAATTACTTAACACTCACATTTTTATGATAAGTTATATCACATGCATGGCTGCTATGTCAACGGTTCTAAAATTATACTTTGGGGACAAAATATATATAGTATCTTTTAAATCCCACAGGAGAGCTTTACTCTCCAATAACTCTATGGCCACACAAGCAAATTAAAACCTTCACGAAACTATCTCCTTGAGCAGTTTTCCATCGTTTCTGGCAACTTTGGCCGGCCTTTGGACGCGCGGACTGTTGCGGCGCTGACAGAAAGCGTGCGCGCGTGCGTGTGTGTGTGTGTGGTTTTTTTTTTCCCTCCTTCTTCTGGGCAACGAGCAGCGGTGAGAAACGACCGCAACAAAAAACGCAAGGAGGTGGTGGCGCGTAGCCCGGAGATCGTCCCCCGCAGCTACGAGCTGAGCCCCGAGCAGGAGCAGATGGTCGACAAGATCCGCTGTGCCCACCAGGAGACCTTCCCGTCACTGTGCCAGCTTGGCAAGTACACGACGGTAAGCACACCGCCCGCCACGATGCCGCCCGTCGTGGACCATGTGCGGGTAAAGCGGGCGTGTGGACACAATTTGGGGGGGGGGGGGGGGGGCCGCTGACCGGGGGAGTTGCGACACCGATCCAGACTTTGTGTGTGTTTTGGGAATTTTTTCAAGGGCAGGCCCAAAGATACATATATATATATTTTTTTTTTTTAAAAAGCCTGTCAAGCGGCGAGCGACATACAACACTGTCGAGGTTATGAGTGCTTGGGGGGGAGGGGGGGGGGAGACGATGGGAGGGAATTCCAAGGTCAAGCAGTCTGAGGGGAAAAAGCATAAAGACAAGTGTTGTGACCGACAGCGTGGTGGAGGGTCGAGCACAGTTTGGATGCAACAAAATAGTCAGTCTGGTACTAAGTTCTCAACATCGGTGGAGGACTTGATTTGAAGCTTTCGTGACTGCAGGGATTGCTCTTTGGTTTTTTCGGTAACGTCACGTATAAATAAAAGAAATAATAAAATAACATAATAGCGTACGACGTTTCGGTTGCAACACAAGCAGCCATCATCAGGTACAGAAGAGCTAAATTTACGAGAGAGAGGAAACACATAACCCCAGATGTATATAGAAGACACCCAAGTAGGGGGGAACTAACACAGATACAACAAGGGGACACAGAGAGAGGAGCATACTAAACAAACAGGGTTTAGCAAAATTTGGAAACCATATAAAGCAACACAGACGGTCGGTCAAAACACAATTAACGCATAGTTTAACAGTGTTGTATCTGTGTTAGTTCCTCCTACTTGGGTGTCTTCTATATACATCTGAGGTTATGTGTTTCCCCTCTCTCGTAAATTTAGCTCTTCTGTACCTTATGATGGCTGCTTGTGTTGCAACCGAAACGTCGTACGCTATTATGTTATTTTATTATTTCTTATTTATACATGACTTTACTGAAAAAACCAAAGAGTCATTGGTGAAGGAATCAATTAGCGGATAGCGATGGCAACAGTAACCATTGCAGTCGGGATAGAAGACTGGTAAGGAGCCGCTGGTGAGTGAGTGACTGGAGTAAATCAATGAGTGCTGAATGACGAACCTCCCTAACTGCTTTATGTTTTAATTCTATCAAGTACAATGGGGTAGGAACCAGGTACTCAACCCCAGATGTGACAACAGTATTCCGCCTTGGGGATATTGTTGTATCGTGTACAATTCTAAAACACACCGACGAGTTACACTGCGTAGCCTCAAAATCTAGGCAGCAGCGCGGTCCAGATTATACGTGTGTCACGGTGTTATTGGGCCAAGATGCGCCGTTCCCATGCAGTTGCCGGCAATACCGGCCACATACCAATAGGGGGCAACAGAGCGGCTGAGCCCCGGTGCTGAGAGTCTACGGGCCATAGGGCCCAACTGTTACCCTATGGAACGGTATGTAAAAGGGGCAGACCCCAGACCCCAGGAGGAGGGCTGGGGGATGACATCATCCCCGGATCCTTCTCGAAGGTCCGAGAAGGAAGGCGTGGCCGGGGCGGAGCGAGCCACGGCTCTCGCCGGACCTCTGAACGGTCCCGGCAGTTGTCGTCCAGCTGAAGACAAGGAGCCTCCTGGAGACTGAAGAGCCCCAAGCGCAGAGCCGCACCCCTGCCAAGGGTCGGCTCCAGCTTATATACCGGTGAAGATTCAAGCTTCGCTCACGGACGACTTGTAGATTAACCAGTGAGAGGCGTGGTAGTCTGGCGAGTAGCCTCCATAGTGTATCGGGTGTGAGGAGCCGTTACCCCTCTGTGTTCAGTGATAATCGTTCAATGAAAACTCTCAGAGAAACTCGCTTCTAGTTATTCAACCCGCTACACGTGCTAGTCAGCCCTCCCCATTTGTGAGACATTTGGCAGGAAGCTTCTGACAAAGGGTCCATAGTTGATGGAAGATAATTTTAGAAGTCACAAAGAGCGAAGGATGTTTTTGCTTACAATTCAAAATAATGTTTTGCAAAATATTTCCTTGTTTAACTGTCTGCATAATGTAAAACTGCATATTTGCCAAAAGTTCGAAAAGGCAATCTGGTTATGCAATCACATGGAAATTTCATGGGGCAGTTGGACCCTTTAAACAGCCATGAAAAGCTCAATCATTCATATTAAATTGAAACTTTAAACACAATTCCTTGCGACATGACAAAGCCACAAGGCACATCAATTTCCACTGAAATTTGCAAGCTAAAACGCACGTGCATTGCTATGTGTGCTATTGGCTATCTTTGGGTACGTGTGAAGGGGGTTTCAGTGGATTAATGGATTAGGAGACTGTATCAATACCCTGCGGCAGATTCTTTATAAGAGACCTTCATCTGCGGAAAATGCCCGGGGTGGGATGCTTTGAAAATGCAAATCAATGTAACCGGAGTCAGCAGATTTCGAAAAATCGAGAAAAAATGCAATCCTGGCACACGACGTTGTGATAAATTCATCATAGGCATGTCATCATGCATTAAAATAGAGTATGGCATATGTCGTGAGCTATTACAACTGCAATCACCGCTACAAATGTTTAAAGGCCACTATATACTGCACACATGCAATAAACGCACATACACGGCATTGTTTATTCAGCTGTTGTACTCAAAAGCAGGAAAGTGTTAACAAAACACTAAGGAGACTCATGAATAGATCATGAATGTGCTCATTCATGGCATGGCCGATGTGACATTTTGCAGAAGCCCAAGTGGCCCTTTTAAAATTCACTGTGGCATTCCAACATCACTTTTGTGACCGGAAACATGGGACGAACGACGTGTGTCTGACGGCGAAGGGGAAAATGAGCTCACCACTGCCGGTTCAAAGGTTATGCTGCCAGAGGGCACTCCAACCTCTCCATCCATCAGTGAAAAATGCAATCCATTACACTCGTTTGCCCGAGCCCTCCTGGCAAGGCCACTGGCCAATGGAAAGAGGGGCCAAATTAGGATACTCACTAAAAAATATGATAAAATAATATGCTCTTTCATTCAAAACAGTGCTCGAGCCAGAGGGCTTATGCATAAATAATTTGTACATTAAACTTCTGCCAATTATACAAGCAATGCCCTGCCACATGAGGCTCATTAGCACACATTAAATTGTATAATTTTCCAACTCAATAATAAAGTTAGTTGCTACAATATTTATTGCTCTATATAGGGAACATGAATATTAAGGTAAATTGTGCTGATGAAATATTTAAAAATGTACAGCCACTCTGGGTAATATTTTTATTTACATAGTATAATCAAAATAAAAAATGTGGCAATTTAAGACGGGTCCAGAGCTAGCTTGAATTAAACTAATACTGTGAAAGAAAAGAATTCCCACAAGGCTGTGTAGCCAATGGGATGTGTACAAAATGCTTAATATTGTATGTGGTGGGATGGGTTTGGGTAAGGAGGCATATTGTCTGATTATTTATTTAGATATTAAGAATACATTTTTACACAGCATGGACATTGGGATTCATTAGAATTCGAATTATGCTTTTGCTTCATTTTTGTTTTCACTTGTCAGGATTTCAGTATTCTACATCTTCATCACTCGTGTTTAGGTTCAGTTGCAATGTCACTTCCGTATGTACAAGTATCATTATGCATAATCAATCCACTGCTGGATAAAGGCCACTGCCATCTCTTGCGGTTCTGCAATGTAATAATCCATCTGGCATCTTCATAAGTATTATGTCTCAATATGTAACTCCCACTGCAAAGTAGCTGCCAAAATGCCCTGGAAGTTTGTTATGCACCAATGCATAATACCTCACAAGCGATACCCATTGACAGCCCACAATGCTTTGGTCTCTGTTTTGAGAAAAGGTTTCCCTCAAAGAGGCCTTTCATGGCAGAGTTTTAAGTCTTATTATAGAAAATTCAACTATTTGTATATCTAGTTCCCAGTTGAAAACTAACATAACAAAGTTAAAACATGTCATGGGAAAATTTCTCCATCTTTTAAAAATACACACAGACAATTACATTGGATCAGCAGCAACATCGAATTTCTCTCCACCACAATCTCACATTTTAATTCAGAACAAATAAATGCATTTCGTCCCTGCATTTCACAATGGAACAATGGATCAAATGTCAAGTAAACTTTCATAATCCGCAGTGATAAACAATCCAGAATTTAACAACAGAAAATGTGACAATTTCCCACGATTCACCTAAACATTCTGCTAGCTCATACCGTAAAATCATCTGGATATTATTATTACATTCACTAGGTTTAACCATTTTTTTTTTATATGACACCGTGAAGATTTCGTATCGATTGGTGTGGATTTGCAAAGACGTTCAGTCTTGCGTTGTGTGTGAATTATAGAAAGCTGTGCAGCTCACGGATGTTAGTACCGCTCTAGCTATCAAGTTACAATTTAGTATTCATAATAACAAGCCGCCAGTCTCAACTTACTTGAATGTATAATTTAACATCACTCTTGCACAACATTTGGAATTGTTAAAGCTATAGTACATTGTACATGAATTGGTGATGTAAACCATTTAATTATTGACATCTCTATTTATGCATAGTTTTTAAATGTTTGCATACGTATCATTACACGTTTGCTATGTTACGTGATCACTTGGCACCGTCAAGACCCTTGCAAATGAGGAATTATCCAGGTAAAATGTTAATAAAAATGTTAATAAACACATTGTCTTCTCATAATTCCCCCCCCAAATTTCATTTCTCACCGCACCGTAAGTAGCCAATTGTGCGAATTGGAGGTACGGGGAAAGGACAACAAACGAAACAAAAAAAGTAGTTATATTCTTGGTTCTTTCGGTAAAGTCACGTAGAAGGCACTTTACGTGACTTTACCGAAAGAACCAAGAATATGAATCCCTGCAGTCACGAAAGCTTTAAATCGAAAAATTAAATAGAAAAAAAGCAGTTCTCAAGAAATGAGTTTTCAATCTAGATTTAAAAGTCATCATCTTAGCGCCGATTATCACCGCTGTTTTTATTAACGCCGATGCGCTACTAATGCCCACATACAAATTACAATGACAAGCATAATAACAACAATGGGGCATGACCGGTGAAATTATATTTTTTTGTTCCACGGGCAATCAGACAATGGACATCAATAGGAAATGAATGCGGCATTGAAATGAGTGTCGTCGGGGGTCGTGGGGAGCAGAGCGGCCGCACGCGGCAGATGCCTCCCAGGGTCCGCATCTCTCCACGCATTCCCTGGCACGACGCCGCGCCAATGCCGCTCGCTCGTAACTTCACGGAGTTATTTAAAAATATATATTTGTTGTCTCCTCCATAACATTTCCACGTTTCGCGAAACTTGTTTGCCAAAGTAATAGACTCTGCGACGAAACCACGTTTCGCCAGATCCCAAGGTTTTCGGGGATACCGCCAGGATTTATGTACATTTTTTGCACCGTGCTGTGTTAGCTGCATAAAAAAAGCGTTTAGTGAAACCACTGTTTAATAGCGGAGAACTGTACGTGTTGGTGTGTTTTAAGCGAGTATGTTTTTTGCCATCATGCAACTCAATCCAACAAGTGCGCGTCGGTAATGCTAAAAAAAGAGTGTGCATGGAGAGCATTACCAAAATGCTTGGTGCTCATGGGAGAACATTTGGTTACCAATGTCTGAGCTAGGCTGGAGGAACTTCGCAAACGTTTTCAGATAAAATATCTGGCACCTGATTAATATATTGGTGGAAATGACTTTTCTGCCAAATCAATGGGAAATTATAGCAATTTGGCCATGTTACTAGCAAAATATGAGTCCCCCAACATCCAATTAAAGCTCATAGTGCCATAAATTTGGGTCAATTTGATGTTTAATATTAATGTTACCCAGGGCATACAATGTATAGGTCAGGAGGTTTGAAGAGCCACTGCAGTTTATATCACCACACCTCGCATTTAAAACTGTTGCAGTCAACCCCAGATCGCCAATCTCTGCTATTACAATCTCCCAACACCTGGTGTTAGTTTCCTGTCCTTGGTCAGTGAGTTTTGTGGTGTCATTATAGTGGTGAATGTGTTTTCTAACCTATAAAACATTAATACTAAAGTATTTTAACGGTAGAATCGTTACTCTCTGGTTCTTTCGGTAAAGTCACGTAGGTAGGAAAAAATAATAAAATATCACGACGTTTCGATCGCAACACAAGCGGTCGTCTTCAGGCAGAAAAAAAATCCAGCAGTGGACTTCCGCCTGAGGACGGCCGTTTGCGTTGCGATCGAAACGTCGTGATCCTTTAGCGTTTTTTCCTACCCACGTGACTTGACCGAAAGAACCAATGAGTATGGATTCCTGCAGTCACGAAAGCTTCAAATCTTGAGTATAATTGTTGTCACTTTCTTCCCTGCCTCCATTGTACATCTGTTCAAAAGAGCCTCGTAGCTCACCGAATTTCACCAGGATAAAGACATCTTTTGAGAATTAACCATTCAAAACAGATCAGTCAACAGCGAAACATACAAGCTCAAGGCCAGACTGCCAAAGCCCTTCGTTAACAGGGCACGAGCCGTAGCGCTCGCAACTTCCTGCGTACGTCCCGAAGCGCTGATGCCAACTGCGCGTGTTTCGTCTCGTGCAGAACTCGTGCGCCGACCACCGCGTGCAGCTGGACCTGGGCCTGTGGGACAAGTTCAGCGAGCTCTCCACCAAGTGCATCGTCAAGATCGTGGAGTTTGCCAAGCGTATGCCGGGCTTCCCCAGCCTCACCATCGCCGACCAGATCACGCTGCTCAAGGCCGCCTGCCTCGACATTCTGGTGGGCATCCACCCCAATACGCATATCCACCTCCTCTTTAAAGCTACATATTTTCAGCTTTTATAATGCTCTTGGTTATTTCCTAGTTTTACTTCCATTGTGCCAGCTTGCATCATGTCTTGGGATGAAGTTAGCCATTCGGGACTCAAACAGCACAATCCATAAGCTATGCGGCTAGAGAATAGTCCAAGAAAGCAGACATCACAGAGCTACTTCCAATATGTCTTGAAGTGAACTTTTTGGCCACACACGAGGGGGTGAACTTTCGCGCGTGCAATGTTATGGACAAATTTTGTTGAATGTCAGTCAAACTGATATATATATATATATTTATTTCTAATTCTCACTGCAGTCAAGGGTGATTTGGGCTAAGCTTATCAACTTACTCCACTTGAGAAATCAGTTTACTTGCTGGTGGTTGCCAATTCTCAAAGCCAGTTTCTCAATGGTGCCGGATCAGTGCTCTGACCTCTGAACTCCCTCGCCACCTCCAACAGCCGTCTACCCAATTGTTAAGCAGAGGAACTAAGGCCTGTTTGAAAAGTTGCCAGCAACACAGCGCAGCACCCTTTGCCAGAAACCTCAGGAGAACGGGGGAAACACTCCTAATGAAGAAGGATATGCTCATACATACAAACAAACAGATGAAAAAAAAACGACCACCTACCAACATCCTCAAACAGATACCCAAAGAGGGTAAGGTACACAACAGCATGGGACGCTGACATCAGAAAAACAATGTGTAATATGCTAAACCCATGCGATGTTTTGTAGAAGATAAAATAAACATCTCAGTGTGTGCTTCAGGACAATTTGTGCTTCCAAAAAACAGTCTATGTTTCAAATTGTGCGTCTCATGATTATCCCAACAACCACATGCCCCTTCCATGCCCTCAGGTGAGGGGACAAACTCGTGGGAGCTTCTATGTTCAACGCATTTTTTTAAACTAAACCTCCATTCATCGTTAAGTCTTCATGAGCATGCGGCAGTGCAGCCCAGGCAATATCGTGGTTCTTTTTTTCGTCACAGTGGTCACTTCACTTAATGTAAATTATCGGTTTCAAGATGGTAAATGTTTTCATTCGATTATGCGTCCCAATCACCGCCTACAATTTTCCAACAATTTTTCTTCTTTGACAAACTGTTTACCCAAGCCTGCTATTTTCCCCATTTATTTCTCCCGTGCATTTCTTCTCATTCTGGCGTTAAAGGTCGTCCGTTAAAATGTCAGGCCCTGCCAGTAAGACAGATTTACTGACCGAACGGGGCGGTTATTGGAAATTATTTTTCAAACCCTTTAGGGATGATTTAACCTTCTCTGCGTCTCTGACTCTCCTTTTTATCATCCCTTCCCCTTCACTCCACTCGGTGCTACAACCATGTGGTCTTCAGTTTGAATACCTGAACGAGTAAAGCCAGAGAGAATGGCCAAATACACGTACACTTTAGCGGTTCCTTATTGACGCCACACTTGTGACATTCGCCAGTACCAATCTGTAAACCAGGGCTTTAAAGGTAATAATAGCACCACTAAATATTGTACACACAATATAAAAGTTAAGGATTCGATGATGTCTATATATTTTTAAAAAATACAGGCACTTACCTATTGCGGATATTCATTCCAATCATTAACGCATTTTATCAAAAATGCTATCCAAAGTCATTGTATCTCCATATTCAATCATGAGTTGGTGTGGTGTTCATGTTTTTTTTATGGTTTCTATCCAGAAGTGAAAATTCCACATACCTCTGGTGGAAGCCAGTCTATCCATGTGACAACTGCATATTCTTTTTACGGGCAATTAGGAAAGTGGGCTTCAAAGTCAGCTAAACATTATGCATGCAAAGTGCATGTTCATATTTCATATTGACATGATTTGTTTTCGACTTCTATTGATAGGCACTATTACTGCTGAATATTATAATCCCATTTTGTTATTGCAAAATCCTAAGTTTGATTCTTACAGATGAAAACTTTAACACGTAGGCTTCCGCGACCAGTATTGTTCATAATAAAGGTTTTTGGGGCAGATCGCGTTATTTATAAATGTGTCGCAACCCTCCGCCACCCGACACGGCCAATCAGTTTAAAATGTGCCACGTTAACAAAAGGACAAACATATTCTTAGTTTTTTCGGTAAAGTCACGTTGAAGAGAAACAACAAAATAACAAAATATATATAAAACAATAAAAAATTCTCACGACGTTTCGACCATAACTCAAACGGTCATCATCCTCTGATCTCGAAACCTAATGGGGTTCAGTGATGATGTCGTCTTGCACTATTTAAGACCGGAAGCAGGTGGATGACTTCACTATTCTGGCAAATCACCCGAAGATGCTGGATGGAATTTCCAGCTAAATGGCGTTCTAGAAATTGTAAATGTCGTGGATTCACTCTTCAAATACACCGGTGGGCTGAAGAAGTAACTAATTGGCGTTTTGTTAACGGGACACAATTTCTTACTGATTGGCCGTGTCGGGTGGGAGATGAAAAGTTCTCGACATATCTATTTAGTTCCTTGGATTTACCAGCATCGTTTGTGTGCATTTGTGACTGCTCCACTCGATTCCTTGCCCTCTCCCGATTTCCCTCCACCAACATCTCGTGGCTTCAGTCCCTTCCCATTCGTTTGCTCACTGGTGCGTTGAGTGCATGTCTGCACGATAACCCGCCTCTGTCTGCCTGACCTTCAGGCCTGTCGGCAGGAATGATGTTCCGCTGCCACTGCTTCTCTCGCTCTAATGGCTTTGATCCCCGCGGCCACCAAAACCACGAGGAGATTGGGACCCACCATCGATTTCTGGCAACGTTTGGTTTCAGAATTCCAGAACCCCCGACGGGTGGAGAGCAATGAGCTGACACTCCAGGGATGGCTTCGTGTAATGCTAGATGAGTTTTATGATAGCCCGTCGCTCCAATTGCTTTTTTATTACTGCAATCTATTACCGTATCACAGGTTTGCCGTGTTTTCCGACACACTTAGGAGTTTTTTTCCTACACAGCCTGTGCGTTCCCGAGATTCAATAAGTATACCGTTGCAGCATTATGTCGCACGTAACAACTTTCAGCCGTACATTTTATTCTCGCCACTGCCGGTTAACAAACGTACGCCGACCGGCGTAAACCCTTTCCCTCCCAGATCCTGCGCATCTGTTCGCGCTACACGCCCGAGCAGGACACGATGACATTCTCGGATGGGCTGACGCTCAACCGCACGCAAATGCACAATGCGGGCTTCGGTCCGCTCACCGACCTCGTGTTCGCATTTGCGAGCCAGCTGCTGCCCCTGGAGATGGACGACACGGAAGCCGGGCTGCTCAGTGCCATCTGCCTCATCTGTGGAGGTCAGTGTCAACGGTCAAGAGCCGACTTGGTTCAGACTGACCGAACGCACCAGTTGTGTGAGAGATAAACATCATGCCCTTTTGAACTGAGCACAATTGGAAATTTTAAGGGCAACGTTTTCCATTCAATGGAGATTGTCTCCACCTATAATTGGACCAACCACCACCGACCGAAGTGAATGCCTCTGCATGCCCCTACTGCGCAGCACCGTGAAGCACGCAATGATCTGGCAGGAAATCGCCGTTTGCAAGTGCCTGTGCTGTCGTGCTGCGCCAAATGTGCGCTTCGCCCTGAATGTTCGTGCCGTTCGTTTTAAAGCGTCGCACGTCACGGGAGAGCTGGCACGGTGGGACAATGCCAGTGTCTGACACAAAGTCGACTCCACTGAGTACTTCGGTTTTAATTCGAGCGTCAACCACCAGCGATTAACGTGGGTTATCAAATATATGGATCGGTGGTCTCAATCCGGCATTTTTCTTTCCGTTTGTTTCACCGGGCGTGACGTGAAACCCCCTCTAGCGGTGGACGTGAAAACAGCCGTCCGAGAAACAACCTTGCGACGTCATGTTTGAGGATCGTGATAATTCGCATATGATTCAATATCGCATCGATCCCTATAAGAGCTCCCTAATTGGAATTTCTTCGATCGGCTGCCAGACATTGACACGATTTCGATTTGAGTGTGAATAAAAAAGTTAAAACAAGATATTTTAGAAGTTTTTCAAGCCAAGGCAAAGTAGCTGCCACACGGCTCCCGTTTTAGATCCGCACTGCGCTCCGCTATTTTCCCTGCGAGTTACTGCACCCCGAAGGAAGGGAAAAGCTGAAATGTCTCAAGCACATTTTCCACACCATGCACATCAAGCCTTCATTTTGTCAGAGTGCACGCTCCGTCCTCGGAAGAGCAGCGCTTAATTCTCGTGTCGTGTGCGTTTATGCACTCGGGGACAAATTAAAGTAGGCTCACGCACATCACACAGGCTATAGATAGGCAATAAAAAAACTTACCTGCCAAGAATCATGACCACCAAACTGCCTGCAGGAACTGAACATGGATTTGAAAGCATTTACGGCGATACTGTGTAGTGCAATAATGGAATAATGCGTCGTTATTACCCTCACGGCTCTTTGTTGTGACAAGGCTATCAACCACACCTTTCAGTCTTAAGACAGTGTTTTCTTTGTTTGGGAAAAAATACACAACGGTAGTGGTGACAGACGGACATTGTTCGCGTCACGATGCGCTGTCTCGGTGTTATTCTATAGAGGCGCGTTTAGTTAAGGTGTCTGTAATATTTGAATGTTTTAACATACGCTTTTGATGAAAAGAGATTAAGGGAGTCTTGCATGCCCCTGTGCGTCGGACACACAGGGTCATGCAGGCTCCGTATTGTTGACCAAGTGGAGTGATCGTGTGATGAATCTCGACTGTCTGCGGGTGCTCAGAATGCGTCGACGTGCATGTGGGTGGTGTCTCGCCACAGCTTTGTGTACATGTTTTCTACACGTGCTGTTCAATGTTTACCAAAGTAAAGTTACGAGTCGATGGTTCTCTGCGCTCAATGAGCACTAGGGCAGTACTAATCACCACTACCACCCCTGAGTCAGCTGTGGAAATTTCACAATCCTATGGTAGAAGCCAGTTTGTTCATAGGACAACCAGTGTCGAATGCTCACTCAGTGGTACCTCAGGACAAATGATTGCTTGAATGAAGCCTGAGATGTAGTTGTGTTTAATATGTTTATAAATGCAAATTCTATTGCACTGTAATCTCCACAACCAGAATGTCAACGTCCCGTGTAAGTTGAACACTGTGACCACAGCACCGCCAAGCTAGACGACAGTTACTCCAGCAATTTGTTACCGGAGTACTGTAACTACTTTATATTGTGCATTTTATGTTTACAAGCGTAACCAACTATGTGTTTGCAAAATCAAACTTGTGCACAATAATTTGATTGCATTTCAGTTAAACATCGTTCAGACATTTCCCTAACAAAAAATATGCAAGACCAATGGCAGTGACGATAGACGCTGCTTGGATATTGCGCCATGGCACTGGTTATTTTTTTTTACAGACGCCGTTTTAGTTAAGGCGTCTGTAATCTCTGGGTGTTTTCACCTTGGTTCTGGTGAAAATATCTCAACGTTAGCACAACGTTGATTGCGTGTTCACTGCTCGTTGCACGCTGTGCGGCCGGGGGCCTGCTCGTGCCAACTCCGCGTGGCTCCACCGTGCAGACCGGCAGGACCTCGAGGAGCCACAGAAGGTCGAGCGGCTGCAGGAGCCGCTGCTCGAGGCCCTCAAGTTGTATGTGCGGCGGCGCCGGCCCAGCAAGCCCCACATGTTCCCCAAGATCCTCATGAAGATCACCGACCTCCGCGGAATCAGCGCCAAAGGTGACGACGAACGGCATTGGCGTCATTCGGCACGTGGCAGAGATGCCAACATCGATGCACGTGGACACTTGCGCACGGACACACTCCGAGGCTGGCATGGGGGGACATGAGTGGACAGGTCCAGGGGGGGGGTGATGGCATGCTCCGATGTTTGTTCTCGTACACGCCCAACGTCTGTTGTGTTTTTTTTCTGATCCCGTGCCTTCCGTGTGTTCTTCCTGCAGCAATTCAAAGCATTTCTATTGTTTCATCATCATTATTAAATTATTATCACTGAAAATGCACTTTTGGGTGCGATCGTCAAGTCAGACGAGCTTTGGGGTGGACTTCAATTCTGGCAGTGGCTTCCAAACAGTGGAATACATTCCACATTTCCGATGTGGTGGCCTATCATTCCCACAAGGTGTTTCTACTTTTATCAAATGTTATCAAATTTCAAGGAATGGATTCGTCAGCTGAAAACAAAATTGCCCAGTAATCTATTTTAGTGGCTATGGGTTCAAATTTTATTTCGAATGCTTACCACCATGAAACTTCATGGGACCCCCTTTGCCAGTACCAAAATATGAGAAGAGGTTTTCCCCTTTTTTCTGGCAACAAAACAGCTGTGTTAAGATGTTAAAACACCAAACTGAAACCTTTTACAAGGAATCCTGTCTGCATTAACCACAATGCTTGTGGTCAGAATGCAAACAAAAAACACTGATTGATTCCTTGTAAAAGGTTTCAGTTTGGTGTTTTAACATCTTAACACCTGTTTTGTTGCCAGAAAAAAGGGGAAAACCTATTCCCATTTAATGAAACTGTTTGCAATAGGCTCATATATTGCATATAAGATAGAAAAAAACTATTTTGATTTAACAAATATTGCCCTCAACCATGTAGTATACTCTGGTTTCCCACAAAATGCACATGTTTTGGGGATTGGCCCAACATCTCAAGCAGGACCCTGATAAATAAAGCCATCTTGCGGTTCATTAGGTTTTTTTTATAGATAGATCAACTATATTATTTATACGATTCCCATTCGTGGCCACGTGCTAACCGAGCACTCATCTGCCTTGGCTCATGCTCGTGTGTTCCCAGGATCTGAGCGGGTCATCACTCTCAAGATGGAGATACCTGGCTCCATGCCTCCGCTCATCCAGGAAATGCTGGAGAACTCAATTGAGGGGCAGGAGGATCCCCCTGCCGAGACAGAAGAACCCACGAAGGCCAACGGCGGCACGGGCAGCAGTGCAGGTGGTGGCGATGGGGGCGATAGCACCGCGGTTGCGGCTGTAGCGCCAGCCTCAGCGACGGTGGGCGGAGGAGCCAAGCCCTGTGGCGGAGACGCACCGGTGGCGAACGTCCAGGGATCCTCGGGGACGCTGGAAGCTGCGGCCTGCATGGCCGTGCCCATCGGTCAGATGCAGCTCGCCGATCCGTTCTGAGGCCGCTGTGTGCCGCATGTCGCTGGGCTGCAGGATTGTTCCACTTCTGAGAAGTCAGGGTCAAGAAGATTGTATGGCTGAACTGAGTAAAAAAAAGAAATGAATATGTATATAGTGTTAAATATTTTACTTTACACGACAGTATTGTACATACAGGGAGGTATACATGACGATGAAGAAAGAACACCAGTGCAATCAAGACAGACACTACAAGACCTTACTGAACATGTCGAAAAAAAATACGTACCAAATTTTTACAGCTCGCACTAATATATATGCATTAAAAAATGTATACAACGACTGCTGCTACATTGCATCGATACCATTTTACTGCTTCACCAATCCTGCGCAGTGGATGACAAAGTTGTAAAATTAAAAAAAATGGGACTATCTTTTCACGTGTCACTGAAAGGAAAATAAGATCTCGACATTTTGGCCTACTGGTCTACTTCAGAAAGACATTTGTTTTTCTTGATGAACAAGAAAGCGACGCGTCCATGTTTCTGCTAAGTGGCCGTCTTTGGATTACACTTACACTTCATTTGATTGAACTAATGTATGTAAGAACAGGGTAGGGTAATTTGTGGGAAGGCGTTTACAGAGGGTTGAACTTTCAAACGCCATGAAATAACAAAATCTAATTTCTAAGCCTTTAGGAATAAAATATATGAAATCAATACTACAAGTGGATTTTAGCTTGTTTGAGAGATTTGTAAAATGCCACTAAAAGCACTGTAGAGCTTCTTTTAAAGAAATATAAACACAAATTTCAGTATTCATTTACGTCCTGCTATAATGTGTATTACGTCTGTTTCTTTTTATTTTTTTACATATTTCAAAAGCTGTATTATATTCATGGCAGAATAGAGTTCTTCACCCCACCCCTCAATTCTCTTTTAATAAAATGAAAGATGTACACACGCATTGGTTGGATACATCTTCCGTGCAATCATCACTCAAGTTGAAAATGGCAAAATTCAGCAGTACGATACTGAAAGTACTTACTGTGTTCATTATACAAGTCGGCATGAGCTCACGATAGCCTTCTTTCACTTAATGTTACTGAAATACAAATGCCTATGAATTAACGTTTACTTACTGCAATATCTCATAGAAGCATATTTTATTTTTTCATTAGCATATTTATCATTAATGTCATCTAAATATAAATCATTAGCATTTGCAGATGCCTTTAAATGTACTCCGCTACTTTTCGTGGTGACATACAAATGCAGTTGTTTTGTATCAAATCAACGTCTATTTTTCATACTGTGAGAATACAGTAAATGAGTGTGTTTGTGTTAACGGAGCTTGTATATTGCCTGTACTGTTTGTAAAGCACGAAGGCATGGCCTGAAGCACACAAGTTAGAACCCTCAAGGGATTCGGTGCAAGTTCAGTAGACGAAGCATTCATACGATTTTCACGCAAAACGGGTGGCTCATTCCATTAACACGTCACCGTGCATTTAACAGAGTAGAGAAAGATGAGCCCGTGGTCCTATTCTATATATTTTTTTCCTGTAACATCAAAAGGAAACGTGTGGCAGAGAAAGTTAAACTGAAGCTAAATTGTTCATAACTTGTTAGCTACGATTGTTTTTTCTTCAAAATATGGTTGTGCAAGGAGTCCAACAAGTCAATGGCATCGAATTTGCACGCACAATGAAAACCCAAAGTGTTTTGTCTGTGTTTTTTTAATCTGGTTACGTACACTTTTCTGTAACCCATGTTCAAGAGCACTGCTAAATTATTTTTCAATGCCCAGACTGCAACCCATGTTTAAATAAACCAAGTTTTTACTGCTCTTTTTGTGCATCTGTAAAATTCAACTTGGAATAGTAAATAAAATTATTGTGTGCTATATATTTTTGGATTTCCTTTACAATCAACCCAAAATAATAACATTACCTTACCAGTCTACGCTCACTTAGTTTCCTTTCCAACATAATATATAACATCAAAATATTGAAGCAGCACACACATCAAGCATGTGTGGAGTGGCTCACATCGCCATAGGAGCTTCTGAGCCAAGACAAGATATTCCACATTCATATGGCAGGAACCAGTCTCTCCACAAGACAACCACCGTTGAATTCCGCTTAGCGGTACTCAATCTATTGCCCCCAGAAGTATAATGGCACAGTACCACCCAGCCAGATGATACGACAGTGGCATGAATAGTTCTTTTTATTTGGCTGCCCACTGAATTGTGAAAATTCCAAGGCCTGGTTCAGGGCCACCAAAAGAGCTTTTGGCTCACGTGAGAAAAGAAAACCTTGACTTGATTATATCCGTGTATATAGCAGCACATGGCTGAAGATCAAGGCATGCAAATAGAGTTGTTACACAAGTGAGGATATGCTTGACTGTAACTCTGCACGACAGCTTGACCAATCAAGTGTCAATAAAATTAGCATGCATATCATGCCCACAAGCCTTGAGAAAGCCCAGAAAAACAAGAACTTAAAATATCATTTTAAAACATTACCACCAGATGGTACGAAACAGTCGACATACATACACATATAAATCACGGGTCAATTACGAAAAAGTTATTTGTAAATTACATCGTCTTTAAAATATTGACATTGCCACTTAAGTAACATTTTACAATTGCGACTCATAAAAATAATAATTACTATTTGAATAACTATACTAACCATTCTTGGAAACAAAAATACCCCATTGTATTCTATATATGTCTGCCAAATTAAAATGACATTGTTAACCGATATCAGTAAACACTGCCAAGTTTTTTGTACTATTGTAAACATATTAAAAATAACCGCGTCAATGGCTTTCATCAGAGATGGTTACCATGATGAGTTCTGGCCACTTACATATATGAACAACTATATATAATCAGGTAAGAACCCATTAAAGCCAGGAGTCTATTTTTAGACAGCAGATTATAATACAGACACAAACTTTGAAATTTCCCATCTTTATTCAATTTGGGGGACATTTCATGTAATTTGCTTGTTTACAAAACATCAACAGGTTATTAAAAAGCAAGGCTTTTAATTGACAAAACACTGGCATTTGTAGAAACTTTTCAATATTTTTTGTAGTAAATGGAAATCTGTCTTACCTGGGTATTCCCCAAGAATGATGGCGTCATCAGCGAGACTAATCACTGCTAGATTAAGGCCCCCTCCCTGCCCCATCTCTGCCGTCATTCCTCATTTGACTGTCATTCCTTCAACAGTCTTGTCCGATGGCCATCATCCCAAGCCCACTTACTATTCTTAGCGGTCAATATGATATTTATGATTGGCGTTTGTTCCCTGACCTATGCGCTACTCGTTTTGTCTCAACATTATTTAAAGCATACACAAACCTGTCAACCCCTTATCAGTGCCCTACCTTATAACAGACCAATTAAACCCTCATTAGTTCACCCCGTGCCCCTCAGAAATCTCAACGTTCATCCTACAAAATCCCATCACAAGGGAGAAACCCAAACAGACAAAAAAATGTGCCCTAATTGAAACGGCTCTACGCCATATGGACCTGAAAACTCAATTTCCCTGTACGAGAATACGGGGTAAACCTTATGGTTTGCCAGCTATGGGTACACCTCTCCATGCTCTGTTGTGCAGTATTTCCTCCGTTGTCTCTGTAGCTATTAATAGGGCGGTGACATGACCAAGTGGGCTTGTTTCAAAGGTTAACGTTTTGAATTCAGGTTGGCGCCCTCGTTTTCTGAGTGGATTAACCGCAGCGTCACGCGCAGCCTGCATCACAGTGGACGGTCAAGGTACTGTGACGTCATTGTGTGCTGGCGTCATTTTCCAAACTTGAATAATTGCCGGCAAATTACTCAATTGGAATATGAAATGTGAATCATTGCCCCTATTACAACTTGGCAGGACCGTCCTGGAAAAGGGAAGGAAAAAAAACACCACTTGATTCAGGTGAAGGCTTCCTGGGAAAACATGTACCAAAAATAAAATGCCGATTGAAAACGTTATTCTTAGTATTGTGCGTTTTAGTTTTCTCACAAAGAGATGCAATAATTTTCGGTCTTGGGAACTTGGAAACACCATACCCGACATTCCCTTCTTCTTCGGCTGTCCACCGCTAACGATGACGACTTCGGAGAACGGCGAGCATCAATTGTCATCCCCTGCGCGCCAATGGGATTGAGAGTCCAGCCCTTCAGCGGAAGCATCGTCCGCACCGTTGGCCAGAGTTTCTTCGTCCGCTGGATGGGATTTAAGCAGTAGCGGCTCGTTACATTTCCACTCAGCGGGGCTGTTCTAACCACTGGAAGTATGGTGTTCTCATGAAAACATCGTCGTGTTATGGGCCTTCTCGTGAAAGTGCTATAACTGTCTCATCGACCAACGGTAGGTAGGCATTTATCTCCATATATATAAAAGGCAAAGGTGTGATTATGTGTGTCTGTTCAAAATGTTTAGCGTACTTCCCGACATGCAACAAACTTGAAATTTGCTATGTGGGTACTTTCCGGACTGTACACCATGCAAAAGTTATAAAAATACACTTTTGGGGTTTTTTTTTTTTGGGGGGGGAGGGGGAGCTCAATAATGCATTTATTTTTTTGTACGGCAAGTGAGCTGTGACGTCAAATCTGTCACGTGGCCCGCGCATGTGAAAACGTAACGCATTGTAGTGTAGCGGTTAGCGCGCTGTGTACGTGTCTGTGTGTGTGTCTGTCTGTGTGTGTGTCTGTGTGTCTCCTCAGCGGGTTGCTGAGGAGACGGAGTCTGCCTCAGTGGCCCACGATCACAAAACTCTATTTAACTCCATCAAAAAAGTAACCTGCAGCGCCACACCTATTACCATCATTAGGGGAAAAACGGTGATCCAATCTCCGACCCCCAGGAACAGATTTGCAGATTTGCTGAGCATTTCTGTGAGATCCTGGGGGAGGGAAAATCCCTCAGCCAGGAAAACATCGTGGCACAAAGTGAGGATGACCCTGCTGAGGCTGCGGTACCTCAAATATTGGAAGAAGTCACCCCCTGTGAGTGGCTGGCTGAAGTACCATCTGTTGAGGAAGTACTGAAGGCGATCCGGAGTTTGAGACCAGGAAAGGCAGCGGGCAGAGATGATCTCCCAAGCAAAATGCTGAGGGAGGGTGGCGTTTGTGCACAGACTGCCCTATATGACATCATAACAACAGTCTGGACCACTGGACGGGTTCCGCAGGATTGGAAGGATGCCCTGGTGGTCCCCCTCTTTAAGAAGAGGGACCGCACAGACTGTAACAACTACAGGGGCATCTCACTCCTCAGTGTGCCGGGAAAGGTCCTGGCAAGGATTATTCAACATCGCTTTGCCAGGCACGCTGAGGAGAGGCGTGCGGAGCCACAATGCGGTTTCAGGAAAGGGCGGTCCTGCACAGATGCGATATTTTCTGTCCGTCTGCTACAGCAGAGGTGTAGGGAATTCCAACAAGACCTACATCTCTGCTTTATTGACCTGGTCAAGGCCTATGATACCATCAGTAGGCCTGGGCTCTGGGTTGTTCTTCGTGCTTTTGGAGTCCCTGACCCTCTGCTCATGATCATTAAGGACCTTCACGATGGTGAGCGGGCCCGGGTAAAACTACGTGGCCGGGAGTCAGAGCCATTCCCTGTACACCTTGGGGTGCGACAGGGATGTCCTCTGCCTCCCACATTATTTAACATCTATTTTGATCACGTAGTTCGTGAAGCCTTCAATAGCTGTACCGGGGGAATCTCTATTTGGTACAGATATAATGGGAGGCTGATCGATGCCCGGGTGCGGTCAAGGGATGACTCCCTATTCCTCAACCACGTTATGTATGCCGATGATTTGGTAATAGCTGCTCATTCAGAGGAGGAGTTGGAGACGCTGCTGCTGAGACTGAAGCGTGCCACTAAGAGATGGGGCCTTACCATCAGCCCCACCAAAACTAAGCACCTGCCTGGGTATTTTGAACCATCGGACACTCCACCCCCACAACTCCCAATCGGTGATGGGGCAGTTGTGGAGAGAGTGGAGAGTTTCCCATACATGGGCAGTGTGCTTATGACCGGCTCCAGTTTAACAGCAGAGGTCTTACTCCGAATCAGTCGAGCGGCAATATCTTTTCATCGGTTGCGTAACACTGTGTGGAAGCTACCTGGTCTGTCGCTCCGCACTAAGCTTAAGATCTTCTCGGCCACGATCATTCCCTCCCTTCTCTGCGCTTGCGAAACGTGGACCCCCTTAATAGAGCATTTTCGCCGGTTGGAAACATTTAGGCTGGCCTGCTTACGATCCATCCTGGGTTTAACCAGGCTGGATTGTGTGAGGAACTCACAAATCCTTGAAAGATCTGGGCACGGTCCCATCGGTGAGCTCCTCCGGCAGGCAAGGCTGCGATGGCTGGGTCATGTAGCCCGCATGCCCAGCCACCGCATGCCGAAACAGCTTTTGTTCGGCTGGATCGAGGGGCTAGACGGACGCGGCACGGGCTAGAGAAGAGATGGAGTGATGTGGTACAGGAGGACGTGGAGCTGAGTGGACTTGCCGATGACTGGTACCAGCGGTGTCAAGATCGGCCTCTGTGGAGGAGGCTCGTGAAGGACGCTACTGGGCAGTTGGAGGCAGTCGCCCTCCAACAACAACGGAGGGCGGAGGGGCGACGCTCACAACAACGAGCGGAGCGCCAGGTGGCTAAAGCACAGCAGGTTGGCACAGTAGGGGGCACAGGTGGTGCATCAGCCAGTCGTCTCAGTCAGTCGACCCGTGGCACCTGGGTCTGCCCCGTGACCTCCTGCCCGCGGGCGTTCGACACTTCACGTGGCCTCAGGGTGCACATAGCCTGGCACAAGCGTCGTGGTGACGTCACCGCCACTTAGTGGCGAATGGCGGTTGTTGTTG